GGGGGGGGGGGGGGGGGGGGGGGCGGCTCTGCATTTTAATTTCATTTTAAATGAAGCTGCTTAAACATTTTAAAAACCTTAAAATATATTACTGGCACGCGAAATCTTAAATTAGAGTGAATAAATGAAGACTCGGCACACCCTCACTTCTGAAAGGTTGCCGACCCCTGAGCTATACACTGTACAGTACACACCCTGAAAATCTGAATACATGATGTAGCAAATATCTAAAGATGTCACATAACTGTGTAATTTCCTTTACCATCTGAAGTTAACCATCTCCTGGAAGTCAGGGAGCAGATTAAGTATTTTTATATAAATTTGTGGATACTAGCATAGAAAGTGCCTATATATGCTTACTGATTTATTTGTTGTAAGATTTCTTAACTAGCATACGTGTATGTACAAAAGTCTTACATTTTCAGAGCCAATCTCAAAGTCCATACATACTCTTTTAGAAGTTAATACAGCAAAATGCACTGAACTAAATTGACATTAATAAGTGGGAGTTTGCACATGCAAAGATTGTAGGATTAGACTGACGTATCTTAATTACATCCAAAAATCTTTCCTATGGGTGCAGGCCATGAAATCCTATCCTCTGCTTTATTCCCCAGAGGAAACACGGGAGTTAGGTGGCAAAGGTCTCTTTTCATATTCTATGCCAGTCTACCCTTGAAAATTAAGTCTTAGCTTGACAGGTTTGAGTCATTTACCACAATGAAAACTGCTGTCCAAAGCCATCAGCAAGAGTACATATATTATGCTATAATTATGGCAAAACAAAATTGAAGCAGCTATATAAAGTGCAAAGTTGGAGACAAAACAGCTATTTCAGTACAGGCAAATTAGTAAATTTTTAAGAATAGCTCCATGCATGAACAGAATTACATGCAGCAGTGGGGAAACCTAGTAACAGGGACCAGTAACTGTTTCTTGCCCGATATCTACTCTAAACAAAGAGACATCTGACTGAAACAATTATAGTTTCAAGCAATTGGTCCCTACTACAGCATGTACAGGAGTTCATTTAGTTTTGGCCTTTTTATTTTGTTATACTTCTCCCAGCCTTGCAGAATATATGAAAGTGAGTAGCTCAGGCACAAAGATGTATTTGTCTACCCTTTACCACGACGATGGATAATTTACAAATGTTATTTCCTTGTTAAAAATTTTATTTACCCCTTCCTTGCAAGGAGGTAAGTAGAATTTTGCAAGATGGAATTCAATCATTCTATAATAATTAATAATAATAAGCAGTATAATAACAACAAAAATAAAATAATAATAAAAATAAAAGGAGGACCCCAGTGTGTGAGGTAGTATATGTGAAGTTTTTGGTGTAGAGCAGCGGTTCTCAAACTGTGGGCTAGGACCCCAAGGTGGGTCCCAACCCCCTTATAATGGGGTCGCCAGGGTTGGCTTAGACTTGCTGGGGCCCAGGGCTGAAGCCCGAGTTCCACTGCCCGGGACCGAAGCCAAAGCCTGCGGGCTTCAGCCCTGGGTGGTGGGGCTCAAGTTGCAGGCCCCCGCCTGGAGCTGAAGCCTTTGAGCTTCAGTTTTGGCCCCCTGCCTGGAGCGGTGAGGTTCGGGCTTTGCCCCCCTTCCCACCCGGGCAAGCTCAGGCTTCGGTCCCCTGTCCTGGGGTCGTGAAGTAATTTTTGTTGTCAGAAGGGGATCGCAGTTCAATGCAGTTTGAGAACCCTTGGTGTAGAGAATACAATACAGTCTGATCTGATCAAATCATTATCTTTGGAGCATGACCTGTCTCTTACTATATGTTTGTACAGGGTTTAACACAATGGGATTCCAATCTCAGCTGGACCTCTATGCAACATTAATAATAGTTTTTGAATTGATTTCTTCCCTGGTAGAATTGATTTCTTCCGACCTGGAAACTGAAAATTTTATTTCATATTTATTCATTTAATTAATCCTACATAGGCATGGGGATAGGCTGGATGACCACCAATTTAAATAAAAATTAAGTGCTATTGGTCTTCTTGTTTCAACCAGTACCAGCCAGCATCAAGAACAAATCTCTCCTGCCCCATGATGAAACTGGAATGCATTATGGGAGTTTTAACCTCTCATTTTATCTTGTATTGGCTGTTGTTGGAAACTGGTTCAGAACTATAATAAATAGCATGACTAAAATCAAACTTATATAAGATAAAAAATTATATCTATTCTTTCCATGTGGCACTATTTTCTACAATGCCACAAATGCTAGTCAGTTGGAAGATTATGAATGACATCCACAGAAGTGTTTTAAAACGAAGAATTTCACTTCTTGGAATGATATGCAATTTTTTAAACCACTGAAGAGAGGCAGTTCATCATAACTTGTGAAAATACAGTATTTATTATTCCCTAAAATACCATGTTAGTTTTTATAATGAAGATACCTTACCTTGCAATCCACTTTTGTCTAGGAAATTGCTCAAATTAAACAGTGTGTTTCTGGAAGCTAGATACTGGATAAAACGCTAGATGGAGAAAAAAAGATTTTGAATCAATAAGAAGTTATTGCTTTGCTGGAATTTTACTTAATTCTGCACTTAAACAATTTAGTTAACTCAGTGCTATCAAACTTTCAAAAAATTTGTAGTGTAACTTGCAAATAACACAAACAATCCATACACTTCTGGACAAAGCTGTAAGTGAAGGAATACAGGGTTTAACTACTATTTAACTAGTATTGGTGAAGGATTAAAGGACCCTTTGTTCTAAACTAGAATTAGCCACAGGAGGGCAAACTTCTCATACAGACATTAAAATTAGATACAAGGCATTAAAATTTGGCATTACAACTTTTTTCTTCCAACATACTCTATTTGTAGAATCTTTCTGCACAGCTGGTAGCAATTTTTGAGCTAAATAAATACAAAGATATACTGAATGCAAATCAATTTCAAGTTAGGATAACTGATGGCATGTAACAATCAGTTTGACAAGTTGCCTTCCAACTTGCAGACGATTTCTCCTTTACTTACAAAGTAAACCTGGCAATTCTAATGCCAAACCAATTTTATGAGGATTATGAGGCTAACAATATTTCTTATGATGGAACTTTTTGGTAACTAGAAATGACAATTGGAAGATGAAACTCCTAAAAACCAGGATCAAGTGGTCTTTTTAAGACTAGGGTCAGATCAAAACCTCTAAACGAAGGTTGTAGAGCATCCTGCAAGAAACTTGAAAAAACTCAACTTTGGTTTCAAAGTCCTTGTGGTCTGTTCCAATTTAGTGCTGGCTGTAGAACAGTCTTGTGATTCTTTGGTTCATATTGCATTGGTTTCATGAAGTACTTATTTGAGGTCTGATTTTCAAAGACACTGAGCACCTGCAGCTTGCATTCACATTATTTGGAGTTGGGTGCTCTGCACCTCTCAAAATCAGGCTTTTAGTTACTACAAATAGCGAAAGTGTACATTTTAACAATACATAATCCTATGATTGCCTGCTTTAATGGAAGTGAATTAGCAGTAAAAGTATTGCACACCTGAACTCTTCTGTTTCTCAGTTGCTTTATTTTGTCTCATTCAAAACATTAGCAGAGACTTGTTTTTCATTTGGTTTACTTTTGTAGCAGAGCTCTACACAAGGAATTCTGGTTCACGAGACAAAATCTCCCTACCCCCACATACACAATGTCAGATGCTCTGACATGTACTGGCAGAGAACTATACTATTTTTTTTACCAGATCAGATTAGCAGTAGTCACTCTATGAAATGTAAACCTTTCAACTGAAAATGGGTGTCTGTATTTCAAAACAGATTACTTAGACATAAGCATGTTGCTCTGCTCTAGCTGAAAAAAGGGACTCATTTTTCAGTGTGCACATTGTGGTTGGGGCGGGCTAGCGATCATACCTCTGTAGAACTTTTTTTTTCATATCTGTTTTATGGTGTATAGCGTGCATCCACAGCCAAGGTCTCTTTCAAAACTTCTTAATCAGTTACCTCTCACATGTGGTGGCTTCCAGAACTGATTGTAGTACAAAGGCTTTCTTCACTTATACTGCCTACATCAACACTTTGGCATTTGTAATCAGGGTATCAGTAGATTACCAGGAAATAATGTCTACCTGTACCAAGAAGTGAGCTAGGGGTTCTTGACAAGCTTTATCTTTAGTTCCCTGTACACTTAGGTTAAATTTAAAATATTTACCTGAATGTTGTTTAATTTAATTACCTTTAAATATAATTATGGGATTTTATTTAAGAGATATTCAGCAGCATGAAGATTTACTATTAATACTACATAAAGATTCTTATTCATATTAAATAAATTCAGGAACCTAAAGGAGAAATGTTCTTATCAATTCAGGTTTCATCCTGTCTAGTCTGTATCTCATACTTTAGGAATTGCATGTCTAACCAACACCAGTATTGTATTTGGCCTTCTATACTGAAGATTACATTTTCTTTCTTTCCATTCAAAACATTTTAGAAGAGCAACTTTACTGTACTCTTCATGGATTATAAATCATATTTCAGAGGATTAGAGAGACAAGCATTTTATTCCCTTTCGTTCTCCCCCCCTCCCCCCCCCCCACCGACCCCCAAACCATGGTGGTGTTAATTTTCATCAGTAAAGAAACCTCTTCCCCAGCCTTCTAAGCAGCCACATGGCTTTTCGTACTTGTACTCTCAATGCTACATTCTAGCCTGCACAGGATTCTCGAGGGGAAACTCTCCAGAAGTTGTGAAATATTTGCTTAATCCTGCTATTCTAATGATCCTTTCAGCATTTGTTTAGGATTAAATACTGTTAAATCCCTACTGGGCACATGAATGCTTCAGAGTCCCTTTGAAGAAAGGAAGAGTTTTTTGCTAGCCAGTAAGAAGGGTTGCTATGAAACAAATTCTGAATACTGACTCGCTCAGCCCTATTTTTAGTCTCTTTAGAAGTTTTCCAATGTATAAAGAATGAAGAGGAGAGCTAGGTGGAGAATGGTCATTCCATTTTGTGAAGATCCTGGAAGCGCTGGGTCCAAGGCAGTTTATCAGGAGGGCTGAAGAGGAAGTAGGCAGGTAAGCCCCCAAGAAGCCTGCCTTGTTTCTGGCAGAATTTCACTGATATTGAACCATATCTGTGAAACATTTCCATTTTAACATATTAACAAAAAAGTTTTGTCAAAATGTTTCCAACAAGCATTTGGAGTGAGCTGAATAACTTGCACCTATGGGAACAAATTTATTTCCTCTTCCTCCCTGCTCGTCTGAGTAAGGGTATTACCTACTACATATATTACAAATGTCTTCCTGAAAGTCATCTGTCACATAATTTTTCCTTATGTGCTAACTTTAGAAAAAATGAGATGGGCAGAAAAGCCAGTGCCATTGGAAAAAAGAATTTTGAGGCAGCAGTTTAGTGAATTTTCAAATCAAGTCTCTTGCTAAAGGGATTCAGGGCCTGGAAGAAGTTACATCCTTATTGTAATCTCAAGTTTCATCCATTGCAGCCAATTCTACAGCTCAAGGATGACATGGATTCATTCATAGGGTAAAGATCTTGATAACTGCCCTGTTACAGGTATGTGCCTAAAATTAATGCTAAATCTTGTCACTGAGTATTTCTGTCTCTGAAAACTGATCCCCGAGAACTGATACAACAATTAATACGCACTAGTGCTAAGTTTTGCTAAGCTATATGTGGGGAGTTATAAGTTATCACTTGGCGGTAAGGGTCTTTTTCCCCCACTCATAACTCTTGGCTTTTTGTAAGTGTACTATCTGAAAATACCATTGTAACCTAAAACATCACGCAGAGAATGGTTATATAGACATTGTACTGGGTCCAAATATACAATGTATCAGATAGGACTATAGCAGAAAAATTCTGTTTTCAGCTGAAGTGACTGATTTTACATAGTTTGGGGTGGGGGTGGGGGTGGGGGGAGAGGAGATAGCCTTGAACATTCCAAACCTAGGCCAATTGAATCTCCATTGAAGTTCCAAGGATTAGACCACTTTCAACACTCTAATATGACAAGTAGTCTGTCTGGGAGTAGGATTTGTTTTTGAAAATTCCTGCTGGTCTAATTTAAAAAAAAAAAACCTTATGTTTACAAATGGGCGAGGAAAAAACAAGAAATAATTTAAATCATAGCTAGTGAGCAAAATAGCTGCATTTTCTTCTCTCCCTACAACACTCCTCACAAAATCCACAGTATTGGGACCCATACATGAAAAATTTGTATCAATGATTGATTATAAATGGGATTAGAATCTTAACTATGATGATTCTTGCTCACATGAACAAGATTGAACTGTATGACCCATGAACAACTCAATGCCAACTGGCAACGGGGTTACAATAATATCCTGATTCTGGTAAGTACATTCTGGTTCATCGAAGTATGCCATGTGAGGTCTTAAATGAAAACAATGGTCACATTAGTCATTACTATCGTTGTGAAATTTATCTACAGACACTATGTAAGGAGCTATGTATGTATACTGAAAATATGTTCTTAAGAGTCTGTATCACAGCAGAAGTGGAGAAACAGGTTTCCGGTCACAAAAAAATGGTTATTCACCTGTCCGCATGTAAAATTAAGCATTGTAAGCTAACACAATGGTGGCCAATTTACATACAAAGTCAACAGAAATATCAAGTCAAAAAAGGAAGCATACAGAGGTGGAAGGCAACCTTATCTTGAGATACACTTCAAAGGTTTGCTGGACTATCTGGGGAACAGAGAAGACACCCTGTGATCCCGGACCTAGGAAGTAAAAGGGCAGTGCATTTACATTCGTGAAACCAGTCTTAGTTGAAATGCTGCAGAGGACATTTAGGGTGAGGAAAAACTTCTTTAGACTGGAGGTTAGCCTGTTAAGTCAAGTCTAATCTCTAGAAAGTGTGTTATGATTTTGTTTTATAGGTAATCTTCTTGCTTCCATTATCCTTACTACCTCTTAATTCTTGGATAATAAAAACTTAATATTGTTTTCACTATAAATATATCCCAGTGCTGTGATATTAAGCAAGAAGCTGATCCTGAGTTGAATCATACCAGCTGCTGTACACACTGTTCCTTTGGGGATTTCTGTGAGCATTCAGTGGAAAAGAGGCTGGACACTACAGGGGAACACTTCAAAAAGACTTGAGGACTGGGTATACCAATTGTTAACCTGAATGGCAAAATAAGGGCTGGCATAACCCAGAGTAGATTGTTTGGGTGGCTAACAGGCTGGTAGTATCAGGGAGCCAACATCCAATTAAACACAAGCAAGTCTCCTTCATGCTGTAGGCTGGGGGTAACAAGGTGACTCTCAGTCCTGGGTACCCCAAGAACTATCACAAACTGATTGCCAAATTCAGTGATAGGAAAGAAAATTCTTTCCCAGCATATTGGCAGGGACTACTAGGGAGGAAAGAGCTTCTCATCTTCTCTGCCCACACTGAGCAGAGATCATTTGCTGGGCTCAGCTGAAACTATCCCACATACATTTCCCTGAAATTCTAAATGCCAGGGTGCAGGAGAGATAAGAGCCTGTGGATTTCAGTCCTTCCCATCTTTTATTTATATTTTCTCCATTACACTGATTTTATCATTGCTCATTACATACTTTAACTGTGCAAATACAATATGAACCCTTTATAGAGGGATCTCAATAGTTTTAATTAAAAAAAAAAGTCAAACATAATGGGCTCACAGTAGATCAGGGGTGGGCAAACTACAGCCTGCGGGCTGCATCTGGCCCACCACGGCCCTCCAGCTAGGGAGCAGAGTCGGGGGCCACTGCGCGCAGTTACCGGAAGCAGCGGCATGTCCCCCCTCCGGCTCCTTTGCATAGGGACAGCCAGGGGGCACCGCTCCACACGCTGCCCCCCGTCCAGCGCCACACCCACTGCTCCTATTGGCCGGGAACCGCGGCCAATGGGAACTGCAGGGGCAGCACGCAGCAAAGCTGTCAAGCTGTGCCTCTGCATAGGAGCTGGAGGCAGAACACGCTGCTGCTTCCGGGAGCTGCTTGAGGTAAGCGCTGCCCAGAGCCTGCACCCCGACCTCCTCCCACGCACCAACCCCCTACCCCTGCCCTGATCCCCCTCCCACCCTCCAAACTCCTCCGTCCTAGCTCAGAGCACCCTCCTACACCCCAAACCCCTCATCCCCAGCCCCACCCCAGAGCCTGTACCCCCAACTGGAGCCTTCACCACCCCCCACCTGTCCCAGCCCGGAGTCCCCTCCCGCACACTGCCCTCCTCCTTTCTGGCCTCATCCTGGAGCCTGCACCCCCCAGCCAGAGCCCTCACTCCCTCCTGTACCCCAACCCCATTTTCGTGAGCATTCATGGCCCACCATACAATTTCTATACCAGATGTGGTCCTCGGGCCAAAAAGTTTCCCCACCCCTGCAGTAGATCCAGAACAGTTTTCCATTCACATTCTGACTCAGTTACGCTTGGTCTACATCGTTCAAGGCTGTGAAAAATTTTGCCGCCTGAGCACCGTAGTTAAGTTAGTCTAACCCCTGATGTTGATGTGGCTAGATCGACAGAAGAATTCTTCCACTGACCTACTTACTGCCTCTCAGAGAGATGGCAATTATAATAGACAGAAAAACCTCTTTAGTCAACACAGAAAGCTTCTACACTATGGCGCTCCAACGGCTCAGCAGCAGTGCTGTAGCAGTTGTAGAATAGGCTTGTCCTTAGTATCTGAGGGTCTTTCAATTCCTGTGCAGATCCTAATGGAACCAAAGAGTAGCGTTAATGGCTTTGTAGAATCCCATGAAAAGTCAGAAAGTATTTTTCTATTTTTTCCTTATGACAAATATATACTATGAACTGTATGAGAAATTTCATTTCAATTGTTTCAATGTAAAAGAAATTTGACTGAACATGAAGGGGAATCTGAATATTGCCCATACCATACGTATTATATCACGTATGGATTATACACAGTAGCCACTTTTCAAACTTAATTTTTAAAATTCAAATGGTAGTTTAAGAAAAAAAGGCCTCAAAATGTCTACTGTGCTATACATCAACAGAGCTAAAATTTTACGTCTTTTTTTAAAATGCAGGAAGTTCACAAGCCACAGTTCATTTGGATTAAGCATCTTAAAGAATAGGGCTGTATCACGGAAACACCACAATACCTATTTTGTCTGTGGAGAACTGAGGGCATGTAGCAGGATGGGGCTTACCGCTTTTTTTTAAATCAGTTGATATGTTAATTTTATTATTTTGGGCTGTTAGTTCATATTTAATTGATTGCAAACTTAATTGTTAATTATGGGTGCCTACTGCTCACATGTAAACATTCTTCATATTTTTAAATCAAATATAAATAAAAAGATGGTTGGTCCCCAACTAAAAAGTTTGGAAAAAAACATACGATTTACGAACAATTCTGACTATAAAGAAAAAGCCTGTTTTGTCAGAGGCATGACTAGGTGATCTAGTAAGTCTCTTTAATCTTTGGCTCTTATGATCTTAAGTCATACTTTTTTTTATTTTATTTTTTTATTTCTCTGAATTTTTTTGTTAATGATAATAAAAACAATATTGGCATAGAAAAGGAACCCTCTCTTACAGTCCTCTTACTTCCCAGTAAGTAGAAGGGCAGAAATATTGAAGATTTTCTTATAAAGGTATCTAGTCAAAGACATCTCCATGATGTATCTTTACAGAAGAGATACGATTTTTGTACTGAAGAAATTGTATTACCTCATTTCCATACACCATTAGATGGTGAGTTGTGATGAGGGACTTGAAGACCACCACCCAGCTACTATTGGTAGTTCTTTCAAATAAGCTGTCCGCCAGCTGGGGGATGTTTACATTCATCTCATTTGTGCACTGGATTAAGTCTGTAATAAAGAGAATTGATTATTGTTATTTTACTTGTATATTTAGTATTCTTGAAGCTTGGTTATCATGATGGTACACATATATTTCAAGTATCGGGGGTAGCCGTGTTAGTCTGTATCTACAAAAACAACAAGGAGTGTGGAGCTGTTAGTCTTTAAGGTGCCACCAGACATATATTTCAGTTTTTCATTCAATGGAGCAATCTAGAGATTATGGAGCCTTTCCCTGAATACCTCTGATTTAGTTCTCAAAGGTTTTCACTCTGTGGCCCACTAGGAAGATGTCAGAGAGCTGCAGTTTGAAAGCCTTTAAAGTATTTCATTCATCCACAGAATAGACAGTATGAATAAAAATAAGCTTCTCAAATTTATTCTAAAAAGGACATTCTGCAAGAGTCACTTTCCTTGCCCATTTAATCCTTGGTGTTTGCTTATAATGTTACTATACCATTAGTTAACTGTGATAGCAATTTTCATGATTAACACCTATCTATTAGAAACTGAACTGAGATTATCAATTTCATATGGATCACTGAAAAGCCATGCAATGGTAACATTATCATCACGGACACTGGCTAGACTCAAACTAGTGAGCTGGATATGAAAGTCTTCTTTTCCTGTATTCAGATCCCTGAGTCATGTAATCCCCTTCCTAGGGCTCTTCTTTAAGTTATTTCTCAATAAAGAGTAGGGTTGTGGTTTATTTGCAGATAACTCACGCGATTTACTAAAAAAAAATTAATCGCAATTTTAAATTAGTTTTCTAAACTAAAAACTAAAAATGTTTTAGATTAGTTTTAATCACAGTGTTAAACAATAGAATACCAATTGAAATTTATTAAATATTTTGGATGTTTTTCTACATTTTCATATATATTGTATTCTGTGTTGTAACTGAAATCAAAATGTATATTATTTTTTATTATAAATATTTGCACTGTAAAATAAGAGAAATAGTATTTTTCAATTCACCTCATACAAGTATTGTAGTGCAATCTTTGTTGTGCAAGTTACGAATGTAGATTTATTTTTGTTCCATAACTACATTAAAAAACAAAATGTAAAACTTCAGAGCCTACAAGTCCACTCAGTCCTACTTCTTGTTCGGCCAATCACTAAGAAAAACAAGTTTGTTTACATTTATAGGAGATAATGCTGCCCTCTTCTTCTTTACTTCACCAGAAAGTGAGAACACGCATTTGCATGGCACTTCTGTAGCCAGCATTGGAAGATACTAACATGTCAGATATGCTAAACATTCGTATGCCCCTTCATGCTTTGGCCTCCATTCCAGAGGACATGCTTCCATGCTGATGACGCTTGTTAAAAAAATAATGCATTAATTAAAATTGTGACTGAACTCCTTGGGGGAGAATTGTGCATTCCCTGCTCTGTGTTTTACCTGCATTCTGCCATATATTTCACGTTATAGCAGTCTCGGCTGATGACCCAGCATATGTTCATTTTAAGAACACTTTCACTGCAGATTTGACAAAACGCAAAGAAAGGTACCAATGTGAGATTTCTAAAGACAGCTACAGTACTCAACCCGAGGTTTAAGAATCTGAAGTGCCTTCCAAAATCTGAGAGGGAGGAGGTGTGGAGCATGCTTTCAGCAGTCTTAAAAGAGCAACACTCCGATGCCAAAACTACAGAACCCAAGCCACCAAAAAAGAAAATCAACCTTCTGCTGGTGGCATCTGACTCAGATGATGAAAATGAACATGCGTCGGTCTGCACTGCTTTGGATTGTTATCAAGCAGAAGCCATCATTAGCATGAACTCGTGTCACCTGGAATGGTGGTTGAAGCATGAAGAGACATATGAATCTTTAGCGCACGTAAATAACTTGCAACGCTGGCTACAACAGAATCATGAGTACACCTATTTTCACTTTGAGGTGATACTGTAAATAAGAAGTGGGCAGCATTATCTCCTGCAAATGTAAACAAACCTGTTTATCTGACTGATTGGCTGAATAAGAAGTAGGACTGAGTGGACTTGTAGGCTCTAAAATTTTACACTGTTTTTGTTTTTTAATGCAGTTTTTTTGTACATAATTCTACATGTGTAAGTTCAACTGTCATGATAAAGATATTGCACTACAGTACTTGTATTAGGTGAGTTGAAAAATACTATTTCTTTTGTTTTTTTACAGTGCAAATAATTGTAATAAAAATAAATATAAAGTGAGCACTGTATACTTTGTATTCTGTGTTGTAATTGAAATCATTATATTTGAAAATGTAGAAAACATCTAAAAATATTAAATAAATGGTATTCTATTCTTGTTTAACAGCGCGATTAATCACAATTAATTTTTTTATTCGCTTGACAGCCCTAATAAAGAGTACTTTTTCCATGTACACCATTGACACATTTTTCAATTTTAAGCCATTCTAAAAGGAACAAATGAATCATCCATCTTTCCTATGTGCAAAAACCACTCTTGTACAAAACAATTTCTGCATATAATTATTTGGGAAAATATTTACTTTCAGCTTCTCTCTCAGCTCAATAAAAGCAGCAAAAACAGGATTTAACGTTTTCAGTTATCATATCACAGGGTTTGTGAAAGTTAATATTAGAATTAAGAGTCCAAGCACCAAAAAGAGGATTGGTGGTTTGTTTTTTGTTAAATGACTTCACAACTTGTGCATATATGATTATTTTAGATATACGGGGGAAGCAAGAAAGTGTAATTTGGTGATTTCTTTTCTCTTAAGTCTATTGGAAGTGCAAAGGAGTTTCTTGTGGAGATGGAATCTATTTTTTCCATTCATTACTATGATGTAGGTTAATGCAGTTTTCATTAATGGGATTTTCCCTTGGTTTTCAGGAATTGTGTGGGTGGATTTTGCATGTAGCAAACATTAATTTCAGAAAAGTTATTATACTGAACGCAAAAAAAATTAGCATTAATGAAACAAGTTAAGAAATCAAGTTAGCCATTGCAGAGTAGAGGCTGAAAGTCTGACCATAACTCTTGTGCTAATTAAGTTTTAAAATATGTTCTATTTCACAATTGTGTCTAATACAATGAAACTGGGATTTCTTGTGCAACTTATAGAAAATTACAAATACACCATCTTCAGATATGGTTTGATTTTTCTAAAGTCTTAATGGGACTTATACAAACATGCCAAGTTTGAACACAATCTGGTCAATAGTTTTACAGTAATTAATCTTTAAATTAATCAGATTTAAATATATTGTCTAAAGAAGAATGCATTCAAGAGACAGTAATCTATAGCAAGAAATATACTTGAAGTTACACTGGTCCAGAATTTTCTACATTCAGGAGCAGTGCGACAGAAAGTACTGGTTGAACAAGAAAATAGCACCCAAAATAATCACTAATGTACTGAACTACCATTTACAAAATCCAATGTTTTGTACCATTGAAAAGCTGGGCTTTCCAATGAAGTAAGTTATTTCTTGTAAACTACTACAGACCTTGCCATGTCAGACCTTAAAAAAGGTTCACATAATTCCTATATAATTTATATTCTCCTCCCACTGCCAAAATTTCAATTCTACAATGACTTTAGTCGTTGCCTTTAAGAAGCCCTAGACAAAACAGCAATTATCTAAAAGCAACTTGGGACTCCCAGCTTTCAAATTGTACAGAGCATTAAATGGCTATCAAGGGGTTCACACGCAGTATCATTACTTAAGACTTGTCCAAATTTACAGGAAAAAAAGATTGTGACCAGCGTTATGTGATCTTAAAGTCTGATACCTTATAACTTTGAATAAGTATCAGAGGGGTAGCCATGTTAGTCTGGATCTGTAAAAAGCAACAAAGAGTCCTGTGGCACCTTATAGACTAACAGACATATTGGAGCATAAGCTTTCGTGCGTCTGACGAAGTGGGTATTCACCCACGAAAGCTTATGCTCCAGTTCGTCTGTTAGTCTATAAGGTGCCTCAGGACTCTTTGTAACTTTGAATAAGAGCACTTAATGGATCAACTTTTTCCCAATGGGTCAGTAAACCTTTTTAAAGAACTGTTCCCAGCCCAGCAATCAGAAAAGATTTACAATTTTAATCTTGGTATAGGTTTAGTTTCTGTAATAATGCAATAATCAAACAACACCTTCCCACACCCAAAAAATTCATAAAAAGGCAGCTAAGTGAAACAACGTGGCTCCAACTACAACTTCAGAAGTAAGTAGAATTTAGTTAGTGGATAAATCTGTGATTAACTGAGGACATGGTATAAAGCTACTCTAAGAATTCAAGGTTGGGTACAAGGGCCACCTGAGCTTTGCCCAACTGAATTCAAGGATAGAAAGTGGTGAAGCACCACAGAAGTGACTAAGCACCCAAACATACTATTATAGGGCAAGTTGATCACAATTAACATGAAATTCAGCGTGATACAGTTGATGGGCCTTAGTGGCATTTTCAATGTTCAAAAAGTATCAAAATACAGTTTTACTGAAATCTTGTACCCCTACCAATGGCCAGGACAGCAGAGAGCCCCATAATAAAACTCTGTTGTTCTTCTGCCCTTTGGCTGCTCCAGCTTACACTAATGCCACACATCAAAATTTGAACATAGCATGTTGAAGGAACTTAAAATGAAGTCAACCCTTTACCTTATGAGAAGACGTTTTGTATCTCCAAGTCTAAAAAACAGCCTTTCATACTGAGGGATTCCAGAATGCTTTAGAAACGGATACAGGGATCACTTCTTCCAATCAAAATGCAGCACTCTCTATGTGTATACTATCACCCCAGCAACACAATAAAATGATACAGGACAAGATAAAAAGAATACCCATCTGCTAATGAAATTGCAGGATGAAATTAACAAACAAGATGTAATTACCAGATTTGAAATTTATTTGTGATATGGAGATTAACCACTCCACTCTTGTAGGTAAAACCTTCTATGACCACAAGCACTTATGACCTCAATTTTAAGTCACATCTAAAAGTAGCCCCCAACAACAGTACTAGCCAGGGTGTATTTTTATTTAAATCTGATTTTG